AATTCCATGAAAAACCGAAAACACAGGAATTCGGAACATACGCCCCTTTCACTTTTAAAATGGGTTTTTTGGCACTTACGCCCCTTTGATTTTAATGCGACGATATCATAGAAAGAATACATTGACGAGGAAAGAATATTTTTTTCCCAAAAATAAATTGTCCCCCAAAATTATTTAGTTTAGTAGTATTTAGTAATTATTTAGTTTAGAACATCGTAGTTTCCTCTTGAAATTATCATTTGTTCCATGGAAATTATAAGAGTTTATTGGACAAAGATATACACTACTTAATAACATTCACTTCGTAAAACCGGAGCCTCATATAATTCTCTGTAGAACGAATGCATTTACCCGAAAGGCATAAATGTCTCACGAGAACAATTACTACTTCGAAAATTCTCATGTTTTGGCGGAAACTTTCTTTTTTGTCCTCGAGTAAATTGACTCAACACGACAAAATATCTCTTTAGGGGAACGTATAATTTTTCGGCAGAACTATTTTTTTCTCTCAGCGTACTTTAATAGTACATTTCGCCAGACGCACAGAAAAAGCTAAACGTAAATTACGCTTTGCTAAATGTAGATTACGTTTTGATAAACGTATTTTACGCTGAACGTCAATATGATATCTGGTGGCTTTTTTTTCTTCGTGATAATCGAAATTTAGGCTTTGCAAAAGCGTATTCTACGGTCAAAATAAAAACGTAATACGTAAATTGGCTGAAGGCCCTCGGGCGATGGCCTATTGTAAGAATTTTTTTTTTGTTGTTGTTTGTAATTTTCTTGCAATAAATTCTGTTAAAAATTAAATTAATTAAAAACGTAAATTACGCTTGAACAAAGCGTCTTGTACGTTTATCAAAACGTAATTTATGCTGATCAAAACGTATTTTACGTTTAGCAAAACATAAATTACGCCTAAACAAAGCGCCTTTTACGTTTATCAAAACGTAATTTATTTATTCAAATAGGTTGAGTAAATGTAAAATACGAATAAAATCATCGTAATTTACGGCAACTTTGAGCGCAATTTACGACTATGAAATCAAGTTACGTTTATGTAATGATCGTAACTTACGACGATTTTGAGCGTAATTTACGACTATGAAAACGTAAATTACGTATATAATCGTAAATTACGTTCATGTAATCGTAATTTATGGCATAAAATAGGCTTCAGGAACCGTAAAAGACGACTTCTTGAACGTAATTTACGTTTAGGTTCTTCTGTGTGTAAGGCCGAAAAAAAACTCTGGCAAATATGAGTTTGCTCATCGTATAAGCTAGAAAAGTTTCTTTCGGCCTAATGACAAACTATACTATCGTCATAACGGGCAGAGGCCGCGCAGCGTCCGCGAAGCGCTGCCTTCCGGCCGGAATGACAAAACTGAAATCGCTCGTTACACAACGTTGCCGAAAACTCGCTAAACGCGCCCGGGCAGTGTAGAGTGAATTCGGCAACGCTGGCGCCTAAATAATACGGCGGTGAATCCCCGCAGAGTTGACGTGATCAAAGTCACCGGGTCGCGTATGACGACCAGACCGGGGGTAATTTCACGCCGACCATTTGACCCCTTCCCTCCTAATTCTCGCGAAAACATTGAAAAGAAATGTACAAAGGATACTCTGTAGAAAGGCTAATTAGCTACGGCACCAATATACGAATTGACGATAATTTGGCTCGGTGAATTTTCTCTTGGCATGACGTAATAATTATTAAACATCTTGGCTTTTTTATTTATCGACGTGGAACGGCATCTGTAACGGAGCGATGCGCTTGTTAAGTGCACCATCACGGGTTCGAATTCTCTTCTATGCAAATTATGATGATGCACAAGCACTGGACTAGTTAGGATGGATTAGCAATTTTTATTGGCGATTCATCTCTGGCATATGTCCCGATGCAAGTCGGGAGGTGGAATTGATTGATAAGTCGGCTGGGCGTCTCTGAAGTGGGACCTGATGAGGAGACCCAGCCCCAGGAGGACCACTGGGAGGCCCAGGAGGGCGCAGATCAACTCGCCGGTTACACCCGGTGACCAGGATATTGATGCTGCAATGAAAATATTACAGAAATCAATGGAATAAAATGTTTTCCACACTTTTTTCATTGTAACATTACGAAAATTGTTTCTCAAGCTGAGAAAATAGTAGGGGAAGGTAGGGCAAAACAGACCTTTAGGGCAAAACAGACCACAGACAGAAATTTGGTAATTTTAATTTTTTTTTCTTTCCTTTAAATCAGGAACACTGAATGTGTTGAATTGAAAGTGAGTTTCAGGATCATAATCGTCGCAGGGGCTTTACAGACAAGACGTGTCGTTGAAACGCAATTTGATCAGATTTGTTCATCACCTCTAACCACAAACAATTTTGAATTTTTGTTTTTGCTTCCGAATGGATTTAATTAGAAAGAATTAATTAATCAATCGTCAGATTAATTTATAGGGTAAAGGGTTGCAATGGTGAATAGAAAATAATATTTTTTTCGAAAATAGATATTCTTGAAACGACACACGCACAAAAAAATTCAATAGAAAAAGTTAACAGAATTCAATTTTTCTGTATAACTTATTCTTTTCATATATTTTCTATCGAATTTGCTCCACTCAAATTTTCAAAGTTTTTTTCAATCTATTTTTCTTTTCTTCTCATCAAGAAAATCAAATGAAAAAACTTGGAAAATTTGAGCCGAGAATATTCTATAGAAAATATCTCAATAGAATAAGTTACATAGAAAAATTGAATTCTATTGACTTTTTCTACTGAATATTTTCTATTGAATATTTCAATAGAATCAGCCAAAAACTAATAGAACAGTTCAATAGAAATTCAATAGAATTTTCTAACGAATTCGATAGGTTTTTCTATTAAATTTTTTCGTCCGTGCAAAGAATTGCTAAAATAAGGAGATAGGACTGTTTGATTTGTTAAAACTCATTGCCATTATTTTCGCTCGAATTTGAAATGAGAAATTAATAAGGACAATGGAAATGGAAGTATTTAGAATAGAAAATCATCGAAATTTCTCCTATGATTTCGTCCATGTGCTGAATGAAGGATGCGCTGAAGAAGATTGAGAGTGATGGAATATTGGATCAATATTCTAACGTTTGATAGGTCAAGGAGAAATAAACAATCGTAAATTTGATTAATTTACCTCAGGAAAGGGGGAGTAAGAGTAATTTAGTCTTCTAATTTGATGGCGATGATGATGTTTTGATCAAGATTGTGATTAACTGAAAGACCGTATTCCTGGTATTCTAATGTTTCCGAACTTAAATTGGATTCATCTACAGCTTAAAATGGAACTGTTAATTTCCAAATTTAAATAACTAATTATTCGTATGATTAAATGAACGCTGAATTAATTTATCATTCAATTAATTTATAGGATAACTAATTGCGATGTTGAATGGGAAATTAATATTTCTTTTGAAAAGACATTATTGTTGAAACGACAAGGAAATTCGCAAATAAGAAGATCAGATTGTTTCCTGTCCTGTCCTTAATAGTGATATCAACGAATTAACTAATTGATAATTTAACGGTAATTATAATTTATGGAAGTGGCTATCGCTTTATCAGTGACATGTCCCTGAAAATCAAAACTTTTTTTCTCTGTGAATGAAGTGCTCGATCGAATATAAATAAAAACGCTAGTTTCATCAAACGGAAAGCTTTCATCTGTGTTCATCAGCCTCCGGCGCCAAAGGGAGTTATTTTGTTTTAGTGATTGAAGAGGAAATTCCCGTCTCTCTAATGATACTTCTGGCGATTTCCAATTCCCTCCAGATCTCAAATAAGAAAAAATTCTGGAGTGACGGGACCAAACAGGATGAGTCAATAAAAAGGATGGAGATTTATTTTTGGGGAATTTTTTATTACAATAACAAATGTTTGTAAGGGCTTTTTCCCTGTATGTAGTTGATCCATTAAAAAAATATTCATAAAAATGTCGTCATCTCGTTGGACTGGTTGATTTATCATGTTTTCCCATTTCTTCACTGAATGTTTTTTCAATAATTATATCCCTCTCGTAATTCCCAATAGTCTAACAAAAAATTGGAAAAATAGTAGAAGTTGAGTGATGTGTGAACTATAAATACTTTCCGTCATTTATGGATTGCTTTGTTCGTTATTAATGTAATTAATTGTGGAACTTATGGTGGGAGCGCCCCAGTTATAGCCACTTTTCAACAGATCTTGGACGCTTCATAATGAGCCCTGCGTGTATTATCTTTTGAAAGTAATCTTGGTAGTTTTTCAGCCCGATTCCCCTACCCACTATCTGCCTTCCCTCTCCAATGCGCCCCCAGTGACGGAGTGCGATAAATTCCATTATTTAGATTTTATTAAAGGGGTGTTAATGCCCTTTCATTATGAAAAAATGGAAAATTCATGGGAGAAATGTCTGAATATGTTGCACTGTCATTGATGCGCCATTTGCCATTTCTAATTTTCTCATTATTTGCATTATTCCTCAACAAAAATTGAAAATGCTCTTCAAATATTTTCCATTTGTTTACGTTTTTTAAAGCATACGCTGGATATTTTGGGGTTCTCTGCATTATGCAAAATCGAATGGAAACTTTCAGATAAAAAAAAACGACAAAAAAATCTAGATAACATAATCCAACTGGGCCTTAAATTTGAACGATTACAAAGATTCTGTTCTGCAGCAATAAAAATGAATAATGAAGTACAATATTCACCTGTGTTAATTCCCACATCCATCCTATAAATACTCCACCAAATTCCAGACAGTGGTAATGAAATAGTGGTGGCAGCAACAGTGAAGACAGCACTCTCGCACATGGACAGAAAATTGACAGCGGATATAATAAAAATAACATAAGCAACGAGAAAAATCCATCCGTGCCCGGCGACATTTGAGCAAGTGGAGCCACCCCAGAAGTGACACTTGAGCCCATGCTGGATCGTCTCTAATAAATTCTTCGGAGGTAATCCCTGTTGAATAATGAATAAAGCCAGACATGTCATACCCAATAACGGTGAATTACTCATTCGATAAAGTGCATAAAATATTTAATGATGAAATTCACCCTGCCAATTCCGGGAAGTGTATCGATCCAGCTGAATGCTATGATGACTAGCAGTGCAATGGCATGTATCTGGAGTAGGCTGTTGAGCACTGGGGGCTTGGGAAAATGTTTTTGCTTTATCGTTGGGTCTGGATCGGTTACGTGGAGTAATCGACCACCCTCCTCCTCGGATCCTCGCCGTCTGATATCGCGTGATGATACCAATCTTGATACTGTGTAGAGGAAGGAATTCTGCTGAGTTGTTGAGAGTCTGCAGATATTTTGTTGCTGCGTGCCGGGAAAAGAGTTATTATTATTCGATGTGTTGGATTTTCACGGGGAAAAAGTTGGAGAAAAATTATTGAACTAGTCAAGTAGTGAGCGAGCTCGATTTTCAGTACTTTTTTGCCGTTCCGAAAGGCAGCGCTTCACGGATGCTACACTGAGAGAAAAACAAACACGTCAAACAAGTCTTGTTTGGGCCAACAAAATCGCTAGTTGAAAATCGCCAAAAAAGAATTTGTTTGGGTCGAATTTGAAAGTCTCAAACATGAATAATTGGTCTGCTTTCGACAGCAACGAAATATTTGGCTCAAGAGGCGGATATTTCACACCAGACGGTGCCTTTTCAGGATGTAAATATTAGACAGTCGAAACGAAAAACTACTATCCCTTGTTTCACATAAAACAAAGATTTTTTTACGTATGGGAGTAGCGAATAACGAAGGAGTAGTGCTAGAAATGACATTTCTTATGTGTGCAGAGAATGCAATTTTTTTTTAAACTACTAAATCTATTTTTGCGACCAAAATTTTTCATTCCGACGCACTTTCTGCATGTTTGGCAGAAAAAAATCGTTTTTTGATCATTTTCAAAAAACTATTTTCTTGGCACAAGTAAGACTTGTTTGAGAACTTCGTCATTTTTCTCTCAGTGTACGCTTCCGAACACTACTAAACCACTAACTATTATCACCAACTAATCATTGCCGCTGACATTATTTCTGTTACCAATTTTCCCGGATTTATCGTCGAAGATTATTGTATTCCAGGTGCTGGCACGTGAATTTTTTCTGGCCCGTGAAAATTAATCCATTTTACCGTCCTAGCATAGTAATTTCTCTGGTATTTGTTTCTTCGTGCGGGTACGTGTTTGTTATGGTTTTAATACGAAATATTCTGGTGCAACGAGGAAAGTGTATGCCAGATTTCAAGTTAATACATAGATTTTTGAAAGAGTGAGAGTGCTAACAAGGATATTGAGCAAAAAACCGAAAAACGGAAATATCGCAGAAACTTTGTATGAAAGAGTATGCATATTTTGATAGATTGGGATAGAAGATATCGAGATGAATATTTTGAGAAACAAAGATTGAAATCGGTTTTTGAGATATTTTCGAAAAACGATATAGAAACAAATGGCGATTTCTCAAAAATGGCTGCATCGATTGCACTGAAATTGAGCACATAGTTATTTCTCATTAATACCTATAATCTGACAAAATTTAAGATTTTTTGGAATCATTTTAGTCGTTTAATTTTTCCATTTTCTAAAACTTGACCACCAGGTGATTTCGTATTTTTACTTTTCAGACCATTCTACATCATTTCCAAGCAAAATTAGAGAATGTCAAAAAAATGTCATAAAAGGATTTCAGTGCTTACATTCGAAAGCAAAAAAGCTAGGTAGATACATGGGGACAATTAAAAATCGAGTTTTTTTTTACTTTATTGGTTAAAAATCACGTTAGTAATCATAAATGAAGTTCATACATAATATTTGGGCAAGAAAAATTTTTTTCTTCGCATATTGCTAAAAATAGTGATAAAAAAATAAATTAAAAATTGCATCTTCTCCCGCATTTTTCATAATTAAGGATCGAAAATTTCAAATCATATTCAAAAAATTATTTCGAAAAAAATACGTTGTGGATTTTTGTTAATTTTTTGTTTAAAAAAATCGATTCTCCACTTTTGAGTGGCAGGCGACAATGATGACCTACTAAATCAGATTGCTGAGGAAAAATCGCGCGAAAAATAGTATTTTAAAATTGTGTTGTCTTGAAAACCGAAAAGTGTTTTTCCCTGGAGTGAACTTCCCTTTAATAATATCATCGAAAGACATATTGTTGTAACTTCCATTCGTTCCCATGACCTTACATTTGCCATCCCATTTATTTAATTAAAAAAAACATTTTAACTCACTCCGGTTGTAAAATGCAGTTCAAGTAGCGTAAAGAACATAGCGAAAAGTGCAAGTGCCCCGACATAGACAAGCGTCCAAATGGCCCTGGCTCCCCAGGGGCCCCGCATCTTAACAGTATGTCCAGAGACCTCCCTGCCCCTGCACCGAAACTCGTCGCACAGACCATAGTCAACGCTTATAAACAGTCCCACGATGATTGTCGTGCTCGAGAATATCCGCTGGAGACTCATCACTGAAAGCCCAGCAAATTGTCACAGTAAAAATTTCCATAATTGTCATAACGCGGTAATATTGAGGGACTAATACTCGGGTTACTCACCTTTACGACAGAAGAAAAAATAGTAAACCAGGGAGAAAACGAGGGTAATCCCCTTGATGGGATCCTGTAGGTGGCAGAGCACTCGATTTTGATCTAGGGAGAGAGTAGCTAGGATGCCAGATAACGCGTATATCCCACTTATCTTCAACATGCTACACCTTGGAATTTTTATCCTCATGCTGTTAGGAATGAGGGCAGGTGGTGGAGAAATTCTCTCTACCATAAAACAGATCACACTGAGGATACACGTCGAGAAGAATCCGATGAACAGGAGACCTGCAAGATGTTGTATCATGAAGAATTGGAAATTGTACTCCGGAGAAGAAATTTGATGATATAACAGTATCGACAGTACGTATTTTATCTTGCAAATTAACACGTTTCTGGTTCCCGTTTTTTATTCATTTTAGTACTCCGTTTATTGCTTTTCAGTTTGATTTTTCATGCGATGCAAAGGAGAAAAATTTCTAGCTTCTAGAATTAAACTACTGGCTTTAGGAAACGCATGGTTGTAGGGACATTGAGAATAAGAAACAGTTTGCGTTGTTTCGGAAGACAAAACGAGTTGTGAAGATCTATTCATTTCGAGGGAGAACAGTTTTAGACGGATACACCCCGAAAAAATCGTTATTTTGAGATTTCAAAGATCTTAAATTGAGACTTTCAGAAGTGTTGAACTCGGAACCTTTTGCATGTGAGGCAACGAACTTAACCACTGCGCCAAGCCACCGGGCCTTGTAATTGTCTCTGTGCACGAGTACGTAAAGTTCAAAAGCTTCGCTTTACGCACTCGAAATTCACTTTACGCACGCCGTGCGGAAAACAACCGCCTTACGCACACTAAATCATTTCGAAAAGTCCACTTTTGAGACAGGTATCACAAAAAAATTAATTATTCATTATTCGTTTGTCCCACAGACGCTTAAAATATTAAAATAGTCCAGGGCATCCAATTTTTGACAAAATGTATACAATAACAATTACGAGTTGGTTTTTTTTAAATCGACTCCTACACAGTTAATTTCTTTTTTTTAAGTAAAAAATTTCTATTTCCCATGAAAGGCGCCAATTTTTTATATTCAACATTGAAATAATTTATGCCAACTCCGTTCTCGAAAATAATCGCCAAACGAACTGAATGGGCCATTTAGTGAATTTTGACGTTTGAAAAATTACCAGAATATGCATTTGCAGCTGCACTGATACTCTCCAGATACAGTGGAAACGTGATAATGGACGTTGTAATTGACGCAATGAGGATGACCAGTGTTGTCAGAAATCCAAATTTTTGCCAACACGGTTGATCAGTGTCGAACAGCTTGTCCATGGGCTGATAAGCGCCGTATGGTGATTCTTCCGTGTCCGTGTACTCCTCGATTTCCACGTCACTGACGGCACAGCGCAGCTCTTCCTGATCGTCATCGTCCATCATTGCTTTTGGACACTTGGTCACCAGTTGTCAGTCCTCCAAACCTTCGGACAATAATGAACATAATGGGCCTCATTAAGGGGACGAGGGGGTCACACGGCACTTTTTTCCAGGAATGAATTTCCGTGAATGAGGGATTCAAAGTGTGCCCTCTCTCCCAATTTTTCTTTCTACATTCGTTTAATCCAATTTTTGAAAATGAGAAACCAGCTTATTGAGTCGCACAATTCTGAAGATAATTTTTCAGGTTTGTTGCAATTTTATTATCGATTGAGCTTTCAGCGATGAAAATATTCATCGAATTATTATTTTTTGCAATTTTTTATCGACCGACATCGGTGGCCGAGTGGGCTAGACGCAAGTCTAGTGTGCGAAAGGTTGTGAGTTCGATTCCCAGTGGAACCGAATTTTTCAACGGAAGGCTCCAGCGAGCGGGAGGTTGCTAATAGAGTAACCGCCTGTACCGGCATGGGTTTTCTGTGGTTTCCCATACTACTCCTATGTTCTATAGGAGTGCGAATGCGGTACAGTGTAGAATCGACAGCCACATGCATAGGCTTAGATAAAGTGCCGAAATGAGACCCGAAAAGGGGACTCAAAAGGCCTTATAAAGTTTTTATCGGTAATTTGCATTTTTCGATTTCTTTTACTCGTAAAAATCCTACTAGTCCTACAATTTTCAATACTTTTCAACTTATTTTTTTCGTGTATTCGATATAACCTTCCGTAAAGTCAATCGTATGGAATTTGATATTACTCTATTCCTTCTGTTGAATAAAAAATTAACCTTATTGAAAAATAAAAATTCCATTACATAAAGAGAAAAATTGAAAAATGTTGCCATTGAATATTTGTGGGACTTGAAAAAAACGGCGTGACAACTCTTAATGGTACATTTTAGATGATAAAATAGATCTCATTTTCATCAGAAAAAGAGAACCGGATTTGAATATTTGTATGTGTGGAATCTGTTATCCAGTAAATTTCAGTTTAGGAGCTGTTTTGCACGCTTATTACACATGCTGACGATCAGATTTGCATGCCCAATGTTTCACAGAGAGGCGTAAAGTATTCAACATTTTCATGTAAATTTTCATGCATTACGAATTTGTGAATAAATAGGCAATATTTAATAGTCTATTCAATTTGCCAGGAATTAGTTACGTAAGAATATTTTATTTCATTTATTTTGTAAAATCTCTGGTATTCATTCATCTCATATACGATAAATCTGTTGCCTGTTTCTGTTCGCGATTCACGCAAAAACTACTGAATGGATTTTGATGAAATTTTTACTGTTGATCAGTTTAGGGTCCCTGTTCTAACACACAGTCAGAAAAAAACCACAGAGTTCTCAAAGAAGTCTGACTTGTGCCAAAAAAATCGTTTGTTAAAAATGATCAAAAAAGGATTTTTTGTACTAAACATTTGATTAAAAATTTGAAGAAAAATGAAGATTGAAAATTTTTATTACAAAAATAGATTTAGTCTTTTCAAAAAAAAATTTATTCTCTGTTCAAGCAAGAAATCTAATTTCTAGCACTACTTCTTCGTTATTTGATGTTCCCACACTGATGGAAAAAATTATTTTTATTGACATGTTTGCTTCTTAGCATAAGTATTATATAATAGAACCAATTTCAAATAAATAAGATAAATAATAAAAATACAATTAAAGTAATTAATTAATTCAGTGATTAATTAATTCGTTACTTTGAATTAATTAATTTTTTGGGATCTAGATGAAGCAATACTCTGACTGATTTCATACAGCTGTGCAAATTAGTAAGGAAAGCAAGTTGTGGACAAAAAATCTCGAAATATCGTCACTAGACACTTTAATCTCTCATAAAATAACGAAACCCGTCTTTGGATTATGAAAAGTGAATTACGTCTCTATTTATTCAACACGAAATTGTAAGCGTCTCCCTCGCACTATCTTCCCGCGTCAAAACAACGTTAATGGTCTCCCCGACTCCCAGAAATCCTGAAAAATCTCCAATTCCAAACAAAACCCGCATTCGTTTAAAAATAGAATGAGTAATCCCCCCTCCCAGCGCATCAATCTATTAATACCTCCTCGCGATGAAAAAAAACTCGCGCATTTTTTCCAGGGAATTGATAATTTGTCCGCCGCACTTTTCCGGTCCCGAGCGTTACATATCGATTTATAGTTAGCATTCAAAGCACGTCGATGAGATACGCCGAAGTATCCCTTGTTCGCGTTCCTCCCAATTAATCCCTACATTTCTCCGTCTCCACTCGAAGCCACTCGTACACATGGCGAGGGAAGTTGAGGAAAAATCATATCAAGTGTTGAAACCCCTGAACAATTGAATTGCATTTTCGAACAGAATTAAGAAAATAATAAACTCCTGTTACATTTCAGTAGTGAAGTGGTCAAACGGTTCAAGTCCATTCTCGTCCATTCTGTGGATGAATATTTCAAATTCTAAAAGAGTTAGCAAAATTTTCCTAAAAATCTTTTTTGTAAAGAAAAGTGAAGACTATCAAAAAAGATCTTACAAAAATATCGCCATCTTTCTTAAATTCTGAGTTCTTCAACAAAAACTCAACTGAGAGCCAAGTCGACTTAAGCCGATTGACCACTTCACTACTGACTTCAACACTTCAAAATCACGAAAATCACGGCGAATTTTGCCGTCTAAAATGCAATGGTGAAGTGAAATATAATAAAAAATGAACATTAATGAAAATTTATTTAGATGGCGAGAACATTAATGGTCCTTTTTTTCAATTAAGGATTAGATATTGTTAAAAGATTAGTTATTGTTAACAAATGGATTTGGTTGAAGGCTCGAGTCTATTCGGTCTCACTGAGTATTCATTCATTACACTATTGAACATTTTCGTGTGAATTTTCCGTGCCAAATGCCGGGAATTATTATCGTATTGAATTTCCAACTGAAACTTCAGGAAATCTTGTCATTGAAAAATCAAATTTTCCATTGATTTTCGGTTGGTATGATCGGAAAATCAATGAAATACTTGATTTTTCAGCTCAATCATTCTGTGAAAATTCATAAAAATCAGGAAAATTCAAGGAAAAATGGAGGATTCATGTCATTTTCCCCATCAAAAAATATACAATATAGGCCCATTCTATATATTTTTCAACTCTATAAAGAATATATTAAAAATATATATAAACCATACATTTTATATATAATTTTTATATAAATTGGGCCAATTTAAGATATTTTTGATATATTTTTCAAAATATAATTTTTTCCGTATGGGTTTGTTTTTTAAAATTCATATTCCATTGAAAATACAATCAAGTTGAGAAATTTCCATCTCACTCCCACCGAAAACCCATGAATTTCCTTGAATTCTACCTAAAACTTGTAATTTCATCACCATTTTTTCTTAAACCCTATACTATGTAATTCTCACGAGAATTACTATTATATCTTCCATGAAATTTCAAAAAAATTCTAACAGACTAGCAGTTAACAACAGCATACTTGAGGAGCCTTGTTTGCCTCAACTTTCACCTTTCAAGTGCACCATTCATTAACCATTAGCGAATATTTATTTGATCATATCCACCTCTACCATTCGTTAACAGCTAACGAATCTCGTTTGGAATAAATGAATCTCTCTATCAATGTCGAAAGAGAGTTATACGCCATCCGTTCCCTCTCGCGGCACCAAAATTGTCCACAAAATTATCTTTCTTCCAAATTTAGCATGAAATTCCCCTGTCATCTAAATTATCCCCAAATCCCCAAAATTCCCCTGTCAATTTTTTCTACCATCGAGTGACAAAACGCTGCACGTGTACACTTTGAAGATTAACAATCCCCCTCCCCTGCCGATCTCTACGCATATATTGTGTCACCCGTGGCATAAAAATTATTGCTCACAAGGACATTCGTCATCCACCGATATCCCACACTAAACGAGGAGAATAACTTTCGATGGCGCCTCCCAGACGCCACACAATCCATCAAAGTCTAGCAAGAAACTACTTGCTTCACCCGAGCGTCGAGACACTACTTAGATCACTTATATTCACGATTTTCTGTTGTTATAAAACTGTCCCAGCGAGTTATCACGATTATGCTGCGTCAAAAGCCGTCGGGAATGACGGGAGAGCCTTGAAATTTTCCATTTTAATGACGAAACAATGGATAATTCAATTGTCGGAAAATACACAGATACAATAGTTACCTTTTTCTGTGAGGAACCTAACCTGACACCGCCCCAACTCGGATGCTGGGCTCCAGACTCCTCGCCACCGTTGTTTCCACTCCTCCACCGATGTCCGACTATTTCCTCGCTCGAACCACTGGATTTATAATTAAATTGGCGTATTTACGATGCTATTAGTTGACGACCAATTGAGGGAGTGTGTTTAATTGAATCAAACAACGTCACATCTCGCTTCAAGTGCATCGGTGCTTCCCCGGGATGCTATCTTTTTTACTCGATTCATGTTTTTCTTGTTTTCTATTTTTCTTTTTTCATCACTCCTCCACCACTTGCTAGCCCCCCTTTTTCAGAGATAGTGGGAGCAATGCGCAGGCCTCGGCGCATGGGTGGTAAACGGTGATAACATGCGCGATAGTTCAAACTGTTGGGAATTATTTGGGGTTTTTGGGTTGATTGGATTAGATGAATAATTGGCGAAACGTCAATATATTTGGGAAAATAGATTTTTTTTACCGTTTTTTTTGTAGGAAAAATTGGGAATAAATTTTTTGTGGGTGGCGAGTAGTTTAACTTTAGACGTGATTTTTTTTAGTGTAGGGTCATGAGGGTCAGGAGATACACAGAATGTTTTTTTTTTATTAGAGTTTATTTTATTCCAAAATAGTCTTGATATTATTTCGGGAAATAAAAAAAATCTGAAGTATTTGTCGTTCCCTACTATTTTAAATTCAAGAGGGTGAAGAAGGTCACGAAGGTCAGGATTTCATACAAAATATGTTTTTCTATTCAGATTTCGAGATAAAAAAATGCGTTAAAAATATTGTATGTTTTGATATTATTTAGAGAAATTTAAAAAATCTAGATGATTTTTTGTTCGTTTTCCGTTGAAATTAAATAGATTGAAGAAGGTCGTGAGGGTCAGAATTTCATACAAAAAATATTTTTTCTGTTATAATTATGAGATAAAAATGAGTTAAAAATATCGTATGTCTTGATATTGTTTAGAAGAATTAAAAAAATCTAGATAGTTTTTCGGTCTTTTTCTACTGAAATTAAAGAGGTTCAGGAAGGTCATGGGGCTCAGATTTCATAAAAATATATTTTTATTTTTATTTAAAATGTGAAGTAACGAATTATTCCAAAGTAATCATGATATTGTTGAGAAGAGAAGAAAAAAAGTTTTCAATCTTTTTATTTTCTTTCTCAGTTGCAATTCATGAGCTTCAAGAGGTGCGAGATGGTCATGAAGGTCGAGATTTCATGCGAAATATATTTTTGTTTTTCTTAAAATTGTGGAGTAACACATTTCAAAATTTCACGTCTTGATATTATTTGAAGGAATACAAGAAAGTGCTAAATCATTTTTTCGTTCTCTATTATGTAAAATTCAAGAGGTTTATGCAGGTCACGAGGATTAGGATTTCATACATAATATATTTTTCTCCATTCAAATTATGAGATCCCAAATTATTTAAAAATATTGTATGCCCCACTATTATTTGGAGAAAAAAAATTCTAGACCATTTTTCGTCATATTTCAGTTGAAATTAAAAAGGTTCAGGCGGGTCACGAGGTCAAGATTTCGTAAAAAATATTTTATTTTCCACTCAAACTATAAGATCAAACATTATTTAAAAACATTGCATGCCTTAACATTATTTAGAGATCAAACTAAATCCAAATGATTTTTCCTTCTCTTTAAGTTGAACTTAAAAAGCTTCAGGAGGGTCATGGGGTCAGTATTTCACACAAATAATATTTTTATTCTCATCCACTGTTTGTATAAAGAATTATTCCAAAATATACGTCTAGGCATTATTTAACCAAACAAAAAAATAATTGCACTATGTTTTATTCCCTAAAAATGCAATAATCCTGAAATACAAAAAATATTCAACACCTATTACGATCGCTCGCGAGGAATGTCATGTCTGAAAAAACAATTCTCCATTAATAAAAGCGCCAACTAAATTTTTCCAAATCATCTTCAAATTTAACAATCGAAATTCATGAATTTATCACCAACATCGCGTGTCCTCACCTCATTAGCAATAATTCCCACTTCACAACCTCGCGATTAAAAAACAAACAGAGGTAGGGAGATTCTATCACGAGTGCGTGGTAACGACGCAACAAACCGAATGAATAATTTTGCTCCATACAATTTCCCGCGAGCACATGATGAATAAAAACAAAATAACGCAATAAAGTGTAAGTTGGCCATTGATAAGGCCATTTTTGGAGTAGATCTCGGTGATAAGGATATTCCCTCAGAGTCTACGAGGTAAAATGATGGCGAGAGATCTCCCCGATAACTGGTGGCGTCGACCCGACGGCTCCTACACAATCGGTTGGAGCCTCGAATGCAAGGAGAGTCTCCAGTCGGCTCAAGTGAGCCTCAGTTGGCGCGCGGCATTCAAGTGAGACGGCTCGCGCTCACTTGAGTACTTCATCGGAGTTTATCAAGTTTTTTATTCGCCCTCGTAAAATTGAAGGGGATTTAATTATCATTTAAACAAAGTGGCCGCCAGTTAAATTTTCCTTGAAACGATAACACGAAGTTGAAGATGATTTATTCAATTGTCCCGGTCATTCAAAACGCTTGAGCGCTTAATTAACAATTTAATTAATTTGTTAACGTAGAGTGAAATGCAGAGGAGACACATGAAAAAATTTAATGATTTAATGAATTAGGGAGATTAGTAGGGAGGCTCAACCCTCACGTGGACTTGGGGTAATCGGAATTAATTGGGTGAATTAGTGAATAAATAGAAATTATTCGGACATTCTGGCGGACAACACCGGGGGATCGATTGAATAGTGATGTGAGCGGCGAGATGAACCGATGAGGGTCGAAAAACAACAAACACGCGCGTCCTTGGGGGCAGTTGGGCATTAACAAACATCGATACCCCGAAGATTGTCATGCGGGTGAGTGAACCGATAATAAGGAACGGAGACGAGGTAAGGAGCATTTTCATATTGCCTGTCGATTATTCATGCAATTGGTTTAGCCGAGTTGCCGCAGTTTCCAGCCACTTTCGTGGGGATTTTCACGTTCGCGAGAGTTTTCCACCGTCCTACTCTCTAAATCGATTTAAAGTTTATTCAATTTATTTTCGGTGCAGACGCTTTTCAGGAGTTCCTTTCTGTTTCTTTGCTCGATTTTCGTATTTCATATTTTTTTGCGTTGCAGTGTTCGAAAAAAATGAAATTTCAGGGACAGTTGGCTACTAATTTTCAGGACAGTGACACTGAGTGTGATTTAGGGGGAAAAATTAATGAAGTTTCAGGTTTCACTGAAAGTTCAGTAAAATTTCAGAATGTTCAGCGGCATAAAGACGAGAATTTCTTAATTTATTTGAATTTGAAAAAAAAATGCATTGAAAAAGAATTAATCGAAGATTAAAAATGATTCATTCATGTTTCACTCTTCATTCTCTTAATTCTCTTCAAATCATTATCAATATTTATAAAACATCTATGAGTATATGAAGCTTAATAAATTCGATTTTTTCATTTTCACAACAAATAGATAAGCGCGCGTACAGGCCTAGTAGACAGCGTCAACTAATCTTCAGTAACTCCATAATTTATTCAATTAGAATCCAATAAATTTCCGTATTTAAATAAATTTTGCGGAATGTTTGGGATTCATTCGAAATCCACGAGTGGGTTTAACTACAAACTTTCGTGGAGGTATTCCACCCCGATGTGTGCATTCTACTCATGAGAATTAGTTTGCATAACTGTGTTGACCCTACAAAATTCATGAAAATTCTTCGGTTTCCCAAGCGATTCGAGAAAAATCTTTGAAAATCTACGGTTATCCGAAAAAAACTGTGAAATTTTCCGAAGAATTCAAGAAGTTTTCAGTTTTCTAGGAAATCAATTCATAACCCCCCTCCTCATTTTTCAACAATTACAGATTTTAATTAGATTATTTCAAAAATTAAAAAGAAGAATAAATCGAAGATTAAAAATGATTCAATCATGTTTCACTCTTCATTCTCTTCAAGTCATTATCAATATTTATAAAACATCTATGAGTATATGAAGCTTAATAAATTCGATTTTTTAATTTTCACAACGAATAGATAAGCGCGCGCACAGCTCTAGTAGACAGTGTCAACTAATCTTCAGTAACTCCATAATTTATTCAATTAGAATCCAATAAATTTCCGTATTTAAATAAATTTTGCGGAATGTTTGGGATTCATTCGAAATCCACGAGTGGGTTTAACTACAAACTTTCGTGGAGGTATTCCACCCCGATGTGTGCATTCTACTCATGAGAATTAGTTTGCATAACTGTGTTGACCCTACAAAATTCATGAAAATTCTTCGGTTTCCCAAGCGATTCGAGAAAAATCTTTGAAAATCTACGGTTATCCGAAAAAAACTGTGAAATTTTCCGAAGAATTCAAGAAGTTTTCAGTTTTCTAGGAAATCAATTCATAACCCCCCTCCTCATTTTTCAACAATTACAGATTTTAATTAGATTATTTCAAAAATTAAAAAGAAGAATAAATCGAAGATTAAAAATGATTCAATCATGTTTCACTCTTCATTCTCTTCAAGTCATTATCAATATTTATAAAACATCTATGAGTATATGAAGCTTAATAAATTCGATTTTTTAATTTTCACAACGAATAGATAAGCGCGCGCACAGCTCTAGTAGACAGTGTCAACTAATCTTCAGTAACTCCATAATTTATTCAATTAGAATCCAATAAATTTCCGTATTTAAATAAATTTTGCGGAATGTTTGGGATTCATTCGAAATCCACGAGTGGGTTTAACTACAAACTTTCGTGGAGGTATTCCACCCCGATGTGTGCATTCTACTCATGAGAATTAGTTTGCATAACTGTGTTGACCCTACAAAATTCATGAAAATTCTTCGGTTTCCCAAGCGATTCGAGAAAAATCTTTGAAAATCTACGGTTATCCGAAAAAAACTGTGAAATTTTCCGAAGAATTCAAGAAGTTTTCAGTTTTCTAGGAAATCAATTCATAACCCCCCTCCTCATTTTTCAACAATTACAGATTTTAATTAGATTATTTCAAAAATTAAAAAGAAGAATAAATCGAAGATTAAAAATGATTCAATCATGTTTCACTCTTCATTCTCTTCAAGTCATTATCAATATTTATAAAACATCTATGAGTATATGAAGCTTAATAAATTCGATTTTTTAATTTTCACAACGAATAGATAAGCGCGCGCACAGCTCTAGTAGACAGTGTCAACTAATCTTCAGTAACTCCATAATTTATTCAATTAGAATCCAATAAATTTCCGTATTTAAATAAATTTTGCGGAATGTTTGGGATTCATTCGAAATCCACGAGTGGGTTTAACTACAAACTTTCGTGGAGGTATTCCACCCCGATGTGTGCATTCTACTCATGAGAATTAGTTTGCATAACTGTGTTGACCCTACAAAATTCATGAAAATTCTTCGGTTTCCCAAGCGATTCGAGAAAAATCTTTGAAAATCTACGGTTATCCGAAAAAAACTGTGAAATTTTCCGAAGAATTCAAGAAGTTTTCAGTTTTCTAGGAAATCAATTCATAACCCCCCTCCTCATTTTTCAACAATTACAGATTTTAATTAGATTATTTCAAAAATTAAAAAGAAGAATAAATCGAAGATTAAAAATGATTCAATCATGTTTCACTCTTCATTCTCTTCAAGTCATTATCAATATTTATAAAACATCTATGAGTATATGAAGCTTAATAAATTCGATTTTTTAATTTTCACAACGAATAGATAAGCGCGCGCACAGCTCTAGTAGACAGTGTCAACTAATCTTCAGTAACTCCATAATTTATTCAATTAGAATCCAATAAATTTCCGTATTTAAATAAATTTTGCGGAATGTTTGGGATTCATTCGAAATCCACGAGTGGGTTTAACTACAAACTTTCGTGGAGGTATTCCACCCCGATGTGTGCATTCTACTCATGAGAATTAGTTTGCATAACTGTGTTGACCCTACAAAATTCATGAAAATTCTTCGGTTTCCCAAGCGATTCGAGAAAAATCTTTGAAAATCTACGGTTATCCGAAAAAAACTGTGAAATTTTCCGAAGAATTCAAGAAGTTTTCAGTTTTCTAGGAAATCAATTCATAACCCCCCTCCTCATTTTTCAACAATTACAGATTTTAATTAGATTATTTCAAAAATTAAAAAGAAGAATAAATCGAAGATTAAAAATGATTCAATCATGTTTCACTCTTCATTCTCTTCAAGTCATTATCAATATTTATAAAACATCTATGAGTATATGAAGCTTAATAAATTCGATTTTTTAATTTTCACAACGAATAGATAAGCGCGCGCACAGCTCTAGTAGACAGTGTCAACTAATCTTCAGTAACTCCATAATTTATTCAATTAGAATCCAATAAATTTCCGTATTTAAATAAATTTTGCGGAATGTTTGGGATTCATTCGAAATCCACGAGTGGGTTTAACTACAAACTTTCGTGGAGGTATTCCACCCCGATGTGTGCATTCTACTCATGAGAATTAGTTTGCATAACTGTGTTGACCCTACAAAATTCATGAAAATTCTTCGGTTTCCCAAGCGATTCGAGAAAAATCTTTGAAAATCTACGGTTATCCGAAAAAAACTGTGAAATTTTCCGAAGAATTCAAGAAGTTTTCAGTTTTCTAGGAAATCAATTCATAACCCCCCTCCTCATTTTTCAACAATTACAGATTTTAATTAGATTATTTCAAAAATTAAAAAGAAGAATAAATCGAAGATTAAAAATGATTCAATCATGTTTCACTCTTCATTCTCTTCAAGTCATTATCAATATTTATAAAACATCTATGAGTATATGAAGCTTAATAAATTCGATTTTTTAATTTTCACAACGAATAGATAAGCGCGCGCACAGCTCTAGTAGACAGTGTCAACTAATCTTCAGTAACTCCATAATTTATTCAATTAGAATCCAATAAATTTCCGTATTTAAATAAATTTTGCGGAATGTTTGGGATTCATTCGAAATCCACGAGTGGGTTTAACTACAAACTTTCGTGGAGGTATTCCACCCCGATGTGTGCATTCTACTCATGAGAATTAGTTTGCATAACTGTGTTGACCCTACAAAATTCATGAAAATTCTTCGGTTTCCCAAGCGATTCGAGAAAAATCTTTGAAAATCTACGGTTATCCGAAAAAAACTGTGAAATTTTCCGAAGAATTCAAGAAGTTTTCAGTTTTCTAGGAAATCAATTCATAACCCCCCTCCTCATTTTTCAACAATTACAGATTTTAATTAGATTATTTCAAAAATTAAAAAGAAGAATTAATCGAAGATTAAAAATGATTCAATCATGTTTCACTCTTCATTCTCTTCAAGTCATTATCAATATTTATAAAACATCTATGAGTATATGAAGCTTAATAAATTCGATTTTTTAATTTTCACAACGAATAGATAAGCGCGCGCACAGCTCTAGTAGACAGTGTCAACTAATCTTCAGTAACTCCATAATTTATTCAATTAGAATCCAATAAATTTCCGTATTTAAATAAATTTTCCGGAATGTTTGGGATTCATTCGAAATCCACGAGTGGGTTTAACTACAAACTTTCGTGGAGGTATTCCACCCCGATGTGTGCATTCTACTCATGAGAATTAGTTTGCATAACTGTGTTGACCCTACAAAATTCATGAAAATTCTTCGGTTTCCCAAGCGATTCGAGAAAAATCTTTGAAAATCTACGGTTATCCGAAAAAAACTGTGAAATTTTCCGAAGAATTCAAGAAGTTTTCAGTTTTCTAGGAAATCAATTCATAACCCCCCTCCTCATTTTTCAACAATTACAGATTTTCAAAAATTAAAAAGAAGAATTNATTATTTCAAAAAGTAAAAAGAAGAATTAATCGAAGATTAAAAATGATTCAATAATGTTTCACTCTTCATTCTCT